ACGCTCCTTCGCGAGAAATGAACTGCCCCAAAAGTCTTGAACCGATGGGCCTAACCTATCTATAGACTACACTAGACCTAGACCGGACTGACTGACCGACCGGTATTGTTGCTGTTTCGGCCTCTCGGCCTCTACCGGACCCGTCTATAGGCTATGGGACCGTCTATCAACATAGGCCACTTAGGGCCTGTCTGTCCTAGGGGTAGCTCGGGCCTGCTATGCGCAGTTAGGGTAGCGGTAGGAATTCGGGTTAGTATTGGGCCGATATTTTCCCAGATTTGCAGATATGTCCCTCACGAATTTTCGTACAGGCAGGTTTCTCGGTTAGCCCTCAGCCAAACAAAATTATGAATCTAACCCTACCGGTTAGTGTACAGCCTCGCAGTCAATCTCGGCAGTAGAAATCAGCAAGTCATTGCAGGCTTACCCTCCCCGGGAGCGAGGACCTCCGAGCTAGGGATGTAGGCGAGGTGAACAGCGAGGTGAACGGTGAGGAAGGTTGCCCTTCTGAGCCGCTTCATATTGCAATACAATGGACTTTGCTGTCTTGAGCAGGTCTCTTCTATAGAACCACCTGTTCTCAGAAGGAGGCTGGAATGCAAACCTGACAAGATACTGCCGATTGGGGCCTGTGCCCCACTCATCCTCAATTCTGTCCACATCATATCCCTTGCCAGGGATTGGTGGACCAAATTGAGGGGGCTGGTCTGGGAATGCATCAGCTGGAGTGAAAGGTAGCAGCTTGGATGCATGAAAGATCGGGTAGGTAGATGCAGTGGGACGTCGATGACATACGATGGACCGACGGGATCAGCGCCCACTGTATCTAGAACCTGCCATGGACCCAGGTAACGTGGCAATAACTTGGGCGAAATATCTTCCTCCCTCGACAACTCAGAACTGGCCACCCGGACATGATCACCAGTGCGGATGGGGGAAGGTCGCCTGTGGCGATTAGCTTGTTCAATCATCGCCTTTTGGGCTTTGAACAAGTTCGTCCGCGCTCTTTCCACATCCAAACGATAACGTCTCGTGAACTCTGTTGTGCTTGGTGGCAGATCAGGCTTAGCCTTATCGATGATATCATCGAGAGGCTGACATGGTTCCCGTCCCCAATGTAACTGGTAGGGACTGAACCCTGTCGAGGAGTGGACAAACATGTTATACATGAGTTGTGCCCTCGCTAAGTGAAGATCCCAGTCCTATTGATCTGGAGAGGTGACAGGACGCAGCAATTGGAACAAGACTTGGTTCATCACTTCAGCCTGACCATTGGCTTCAGGATGATGACCAGAAGTCGTGTCCAAACGTGAGTGCAAGTAGTCCTTACAGCAGGACTGCCACTCATCGCTGCAAAATTTGGGGTCTCTATCACTGACAATGGAAGTGGGCGGTCCATGGTGAGTGACCCACCTCTCAGAAAAGGCTGCTCTCACAGCCGGAACCCTAGCTACCTTTGGCAAGGGGATGAACTTTGCGTATTTGGAGAACCTGTTCACATAGACCATAACCTGACGCATGCCACGAGGGGTGGTCTTGCCTAAATCTGTGAAGTCTATCGCCACAGATTCGGCAGGGCCATCAGTTATGGGTAGGGGTTTGAGCAGTCCCAAAGGAGGTCTACGTTGGACCTTATTCCTTTGGCAGAGCTCACAGGTGTCCACATAGCGCAGCATATCACTCTGCATCTTCTTCCAGAAGAATCGTTGCGACAGGGCTGCATAAGACTTCAGAAACCCGAAATGTCCACGGGCGTCATGACACTCTAACATCAGTAGTGTCCTGAGCCGCGGGTCCTTAGGAATGCACAAGCGCTCCTCGCCTCTACTGTAAGTGTACATCAAGCCTGAACTCAGAGCATAGCCTGGTTCAGAGTTAGGATCTGCTTGCAGATTCCTGACAATGGGTCCGAAAGTCTCGTCCTGAGGCAGTAGACGAGCAATGGTCTGACGGGTCTCCTCTCCAAAGGAGTAAGTAGAGGAGATCAGCGCAAAAGAGTCAGGCTTACGAGAGAGGGCATCTGCTACCTTGTTGTAGCAACCCTTCTTATGTTTCAGTTCAAAGTCAAACATGTCAATGAACTGAATATACCGTGCCAACTTATCATTCAACTCTCCCTGGGACTTCATCCACTCTAAGGTGGAGTGATCTGAAAAGATCTTGAAGTGCCTGCCCATGAGAAAGTGTTTATAGTGTTTCAGGGCACAGACAAGAGCATATAGCTCTTTCTCGTAGGTAGAGTCCTGGAGCTTTTGAGTCTTGATCTTCTTACTCATGAACTCTACAGGTCGTAGACCATTCCCATCATCCTGCTGAAGAACTGCCCCAATGCCATACCGACTGGCATTCGTGGTCAGGATAAATGGCAAAGTGGGGTCAGGTAACTTTAGCACAGGTGCACGAGTCAAGGCCTTCTTGAGTCGTGTGAAGGCCAACTGACAGTGGAGGGACCAAAGAAAGGGAGTGTCCTTCTTCGTTAGGTTAGTCAGGGGTGCAGCCACTGCAGAAAAGTTCCTGACAAACTTTCTGTAGTATGAGGCCAGACCCATGAAGGACCGAACATCCCTCACTGTCTGAGGATGAGGCCACTCCTGAATGGCAGCAATCTTGGCTGCTTCAGGAGCCAGGCCATCTCCAGAGATTACATGCCCCAGATAGATGACAGAGGGAACTCCGAAAGAGGACTTCTCTCGGTTGATCTTGTACTGGCTGTCACGTAATGACTGAAGAACAAGAGCCAAGTGCTCCGCATGTTCCCTGGCAGTTTTGCTGAATACCAGGATATCATCCAGGTAGACAACCATAAACTTGTCCACATAAGGCCTGAAGATGCGGTGCATCTCTGTCTGGAAGGTGCCTGGGGCATTGCAAAGTCCGAATCACTTGTCCACATAAGGCCTGAAGTCCCATGCCTGGTCTTGAAGGCTGTCTTGTAGACATCCTCCTCGGCCATCTCAATCTGGTGGTAGCCAGATTTGAGGTCGACTTTGCTGAACACTGTGCAGCCCTGCACCATGTCCAGGAGGGCATCGATCCTAGGAAGTGGCTCAGTGCTCTTCCTAGTGATCTTGTTGAGACCCGTGTAGTCAATGCACATTCTGAACTCGCCGTTCCCTTTGGGCACAAAGAGAACAGGTGCACCGAATTCAGAAGTGTTGGGTCTGATCCAGCCTTTGCTGGTCAGGGTCTCAAGCTGCTTTCTGAGCTCCTCAAGCTCAGCAGGGGACATCCTGTAGATGCGGCCCTTGTGAGGGACCGCTCCAGGCAGCAGCTCGATGTGATGCTTGGTTGGTCGGTTGGGTAACCCAAAGGGCCCCTGCATCAGATCAGCATACTGATCTACCACCGGCTGTATCTCAGGAGGACAGGAAACGGGAGGAGCATCTGTTTGCTTGACCAAAGCAATAAACAAACGCTCGTGGTGGTACTGGCGTGAGAGAGCATGAAACTCCCTCGCTCTCAGGCAGTAGCAAGAGGTCTTAGGGTGATGATCAGCAGCAATCATGCATGGCTGATACACACCTTGGCTATTAGGTAGCTCAACCTTTGGGATCTGCCAGTCGATCCTTGGGTTGACTGCCTTCAGCCACTGCATAGAGAACACCAAGTCAAAGGGCAGCTCAGGGAAGATGTAGAAGTTCAGGCTATGTCTGACTTCTCCAGCACTGTCGAAGGTCACAGGGATACCCTTGACCTTCTCCCTGATGCTCAGCACTGTAGAGTCACCAATCAGCACCAGCAGCGGTTGTTGCAGTTGCTGAACTTTCATGCCAGGTGCAACTTTTTAACTGCACTGGGAGACATGAAGTTCCTGGTGGCCCCGCAGTCCAACAGCCCTGTGATCCTGGTGCTGTTGATCAGTGGCCGAAGCATGATGAGATCAGTCTTGCTCTTCTTCTGTTCCTTCAGATGAAGAAAGAAGGCAGCAAGGGACTGAAGCTCATCCTGCCCCGGGTCAGGATCCTTATAGCAAAAGGATGCTGCCCGCGCAGTCCCCAAACAAACATCCTCACAAACAGTCTCAACTGAAACAGCTGCAGATTCACCTACCTGAGTAGATGAAGGTGCAACATTGGGGGGCACTGCAGTCCCCAGGGTCTGTTTCAGTTTTTTGACTGACCACCTGCGCCTGGCATGTAAGGGCAGTCCTTCAGGAAATGTTGTCCCTCACATCTCAGGCAGACTCCTCGCTCCTTTCTTCTTCTCTAGACTCCCTCCTGGATCTTGAGGTCATGCCAGGGGAGTGTGGAGGGATTGAGAGGGTTAGCTGGCATGCGGACGTCTTTGGGCAGGTTAGGGCGCTGGGAAGAGGAAGGCCGATGTCCCTTTTTCTTCTGCTGCTGCAGAACTCCCAAAATAGCCCGAGTCAGGGCTGTTGCAATATCCGGACCAGGAGCAGATCCAGTCCCAGCTGAAGGTTCATCAACCTGGGAATCTGAATCTGAACCTGATGCAGACTCCGCGTGAGTGAAGGCTGCCTTTCCCTTTCTGCGACCTCTAGGGAAGACACCTTTCCTCCTGTCAGAGGATGGGGCCTGGACATGAAGCTTTGCCTCCATGTCCAGGGTTGCACGGCCAAAGGACCTCCAGTCCTTGTGCCCAACGTTGTACAATGCAACAACAAACTTCTCAGGCGCGGCCCTCCAGAAGTTGGTCAGCAGATCATCAGTAGACATGACCAACCCAGGGGTGGAGGTCAGCTGCTCGAACTCAGCAAACAAGGCCTGCAGGGTACCGCTGTACCGTTGCTGTCCCAGGCGAGCAATCCTGTCAGCAGCCTTGCGGGCCCGCTCCTTATCGGCAAAGCGGTCCTCCAGGGCCTGCAGAAGTTTGTCCACCCCAAGCCCAAAAGCCCAGTCCTCCATGGACTGCTGCAAACTGCTGGAGGTAGAAGTGGCCCACTTTAATGCAGGTCCCTCCAACAGTCTCAGAACAGTCGCCACCTTGGTCTGTTCTGCACAGACAAAGCCCTCAAGTAGGCTTTGGTCCCAGCAGCCCAGTCCCCAACATCGGTCTTGGGGTCATCACCCCTGAACTTGTTGAGAGCAGGGATCTTGGGACCTCTTTGGTCTCCTGCAGTTACAGCAGCATAGGTGGCCTTTGCTGAGGCTTTTTGGGAATGAGATGGTGATCGGGAAGAATGTGTTGAACCAGGGGGTGTTGAAGGACGAGAAGGAGGAGGAGAAGGTTAAGGTTGCAGCAGAGGAAGCTGAGGGGCAGTCAGCTTGGCGGCTGACAACTGAATCGCATCCAAAATCTTTGACTGTTGAGCTGCCAGGTCGTCAACCCGACACTCCGAACGCTCAAAGCGGTCGTCCCAGTTCTGAATTGCGAACTAGTGATCTTGTGTTCCAAGATGATCATCTCTGCCAGGTGTTTAGTCACCTGGGCACAACAGTCATCTGTGAGTGTCTTGTCTAGCTGCTGTAACAAATATTCCCTTCTGGAATGATTTGTTGCAACCTCTAGCTCAGCTGCCTCCTGCCGTTCCAATTCTGCAAGGCGTTCGGTTTGACGCTGCAGTTGTTCTTGCAACTCCCTCTTTTCTTGCTGAGTAGCAGTCAGAGGTGGAGAAGGAGGAGTGGAGGTGGAGGGTTGTTGACCTTCCACCTTTATCACAACTTCCACCTGTGGCTACTGCTGAGCCTCCTGACGAGACATTTTCCCTGTTTCAAAATTAAAGCCAAAATAAAATAGAACAACAACCTGAGTGTGCAGCGATACTCAGATTCCTTCAGACACCCTGGAATCGCTGCAAAACTCAGACACTGGAACAGATGGGTGAATGGGCAATCAACGGTTTGGGTTGGAAAGGTGTCTCTGGGGTCAGGTGTCAGACAGACTGTAAATCCAGCAAAATCATGCACACGATTTCCTTTTACTGACCCTGCACCACACTGGAGTTAGTAGAGTCACTCCACTACTCTTCCAGAGACACTGGATTTCCAGTGCCCACTAGAAAACGAGTGTAATCAGTGAGAATGATTGAAAATGGTTAGTACTGACAAGGGAGGTCAACCAAATCAAGCGATTTGGACAGACACCCTGTATCCTGACTCAGACTCCAATTTAGACCCTAATGACTCTGGCGGTCATACCCTGGGGTATGGCGAATTACAGTTTTCACTGTATCCAGTGAAATACTGTAAATCCAACTCTGCGATTCTGCAGTATTGTCTGTTTTTGGATTGCGATTCACTGGGGACTGGCAGAATGGAATTCTGACGGACAGAATTGAAGTTATGACTGACCCTAGTTAGCACAGGCTATAAATAGACTGAGCGCAAAACTACGATTCACTGTATCACTACCTTTCCAGTGCAGAATTCTCAATTTGAGCATCCTAGAATAATCGCAATGCAGTAAAGCAGTCACAGAACAATTTTGGATTGAAAAGAGTCAACAGAGGGTGAGAAATGAGCAGAGAGAGGTAGGGGAGAGATGGCTATGGCTGTCATGCAGTCTGCGATTTTCATATCCAGTCACTGACAGACAGATAGACCATTATAATTAACTAAACTAATACCATCTGGATCGCTATGCAGGTAGGTGCATGGAACGGACTCACTTTCAAAGAATCTTGCAGGTGATGATGAAGATCTGGCTATGGCAGATGATAACCCTTATCTCGCCAATTCTTCCAGATATTCCTCCTGACAATTCCACGCACAGAACTGCTTCAAATTCGTTGATCCTGTAGCGCTGCACTCCCTTACTCCAGATACACTTTATCTGGTCCTAAGGCGCCTAGTATGCCAACTCCAAAATATCACGCCATAGTACCTGGTAGCCGCTGATGCTAAAAATAGCCTCAGATGGGGTTATTTCTCCTGGAGATTGATACAGACTGTCAATCTCTGCCAGCGCTACCCAAGGATGATGCCGCTCAGGGTTCCCTGATGCCCTCAGGGGTAATTCGCCACTCTGGGGTACTTCGCAACACTACCCTCAGGGTTGGCTATGGCGAATTAGCCTTGTACTCGCCACCTCCTGACCAGCGCCCTGACAGGCTCAGCGCGCTTGCTCAGTGCAACCACTGAACACTTGAATCCACCGCTGAAAGTCTTCTTCCCTGCTGGCTCAGTACTAGGGAAGATGAATCGCCATGAAACTCTCGCCAGTAGATCGCCAAATGAAGAAGATGCCTGAGTGTGCTCAACCCTCAGTGTTCCAATTCCAATCCCAACTCCGATACCAACTGTTACGAACTTGGTTGTCTGACGATTTTTACCGCCACTCACACACAGACCATCTCATACATGCCCATACATGCATAAGAGAAGGGGGAGAGGAGACAAAGTCCACATTGCACACAGATCAGAGGAGGCAGCGGAATACAGCTATGCACAGGTGGGGAGAAGACACACAGTGTTTCTCACTCTCTGACAAACTCCCAACAACCAATCAAGAAGAACCTGCGAGGATCACAATTGAAATGACACTGATGTTGAGCCAACTCAAACAATTATCGTAACAGAGTTTGTTCCGGTATCTTGCCACTCTCAGAACTCACACCCCACTCTCTATCCTACACCCAATTAGTAGCGCCACATCAGAACAGCCTCCCAGAGGCCGGCGCCAACCACCCTG